TTTCAAAAGTGTATAGAAATAGATTTCACCTTCCTTCTATGGTTACTTCAAAATATTTTTTGCCTTTATTAACCTACAAACTCCATCTCATGCTATCAAAAAAATCAACTCTATGGAGAGCAGAAGAGCTATAATGGGTTTTTATTTTTCTGGGCATTGTTGACAAGAGGAACTGATGTAATTATTATTTAATACTATATGATACGGGCTATGTATAGTATACATGCGAGTGTATGTTATGAAAATGGAAATTAAAAAAAAAATATCCCCGGTCGAAGAGTCTCCTCTTAAAAAGGGCCAAGTGAGGAGGGGGAGAGAGGGGTCCCTGCATTGCTCAGCCTGGCAAGATTGAAGCTCCTGAGAAGTGGGAGAGAGCTTGGAAGGGGCTGGGAATCCTGGGTTCCTCTCTGGGTAGGCAGAGCTCCAGAGGGACCACCAAGAAAAGCAGGGGCTCCCCTGAGATCCTCCAGGGGCCACCTGGGTCTGGGCTTCTTGGCCGTGGAAGGAGATCTAGTGTAGCTCTTTTGCCACCTGTCTTTCATCCCTCCTGACCTCCCATCCCACCCCCAATTCCACTGCTCTGCTCAAGAAGGTTCCCCCCAGGATGGCTCCAGAAAAGCAAAGGCTTGAAGGGATGGTGGGCATTTCCCCTGCAAGAGTCCTGAGCGATCTCGGGGGACTTGGGGGGGGGGGGCTGCAAGTGGGAGGGGGGGCCTCTCCTGCATCTCTGAACTCTTCCCCAGCCAGGGACTCTTGGCTGTCTAAATCACCCTCTGAGCCATGGGTCACTCGTCCTGGTCACTCTCTCACTAGTAGGCTTCTCCTGAACTCGAGACCTTCATAACCCCACGCTGGGCAATTGCCCAGGGCTCAGCTCTGGCCTCCATTCTGCTGAAAGCCTCCGCAAAGCCCAGAGAGATGACTTACCGGTGGCGGGGGGGAGATAAGGAATCGGGCACATGTTGGAGATGCTGCACAGACAATAGACTGCAGCTGGGTAAGACATCAGCAAAGATGTCTGGCAGAGGCTTCCTCAGGCTTGTCTGACCGAGCCAGGCCTTCGCCTGTGCAGGGTCCCCAACATGTGGCCGGTTCCTCATTCCCCCCACCGGTGGGTCATCTCTCTGGGCGTTGGGGAGGTGTTCAGCAGAAGGGAGGCAGAGCTGAACCCTGGGCAGTTGCACTGTGTGGGTGTGAAGTCTTGAAGGCTCTTCCCTGACGCAGCATGTGCACACCCACTCCGGGAGCAGCTGAACCACAAATGATTGCCAGGTTCTTCCCTGGCATGAAACGGAAAAGGCCAGAAATGCCCGTCTTGGTTTTTCTCGGCTGAGGAGCCTCTCTGGGAGCTGAGCCAGGCTGATGTCTAATGACACCAGCCAGGAGGAAGCCCAGGCACAAGTGGCTTCATTTCTTCCCAATTGTTCACCCATTAAGGAAGAGGGGAGGGGGGTGTCTCTCCTCAGGGACTCCAACCTTTTGGGGAGCCTCTTCCAGGACGTGTGCCCAGTTCTGCTGACCCTAGAGAAGGGGGCGGAGCAGCTGTGGCCAACCCTTTGGGCCCAGGGGTTCCGTGCAGAGAAGGGCAGACCGGAGGGGGCCTTTTTCCATGCTGCCTGCATCCCACAGATGGGGTCCCACTTGTTTGGGTGGCCCGGTTTCTGCCACATCCAGGTGCCATGGACTGGGGGTTGGGGTAGAGGACAAAAGCCCCCCTTCCTCTTTGGCACTTCCTGGGTGAAAGCCCCCATCTCACCCAGTAGGGGAGGTGTCTGGTCTCCTGGAGGGGGTTGTTGCCAAAAATACACCCAATCTCTCCCCCCACCACACCTGTGGAGGCAGCCACACCATTGTTCTCTCTCAGCAGCCCTTCTGTTTATACAACAGGAGGGTGACAGTGTTAGTGGCAGGCAGAGCTTGTGCACATCCAAATTGGGAGCAGCCCCAGCTGGCAGGTTCTCCACCAGGCTCTCTCTCGAGCTGCAAAGGACTGGCTCCCCCCCCAGCCCCCCACTTCAACTTCTCACAGGGAGATGCAGCTTCCCCTGCGTTTTGCAGCTGGGTCTTTGGGAGGGAGGTTGGAGCTCTCTCTATAGAAACAACATGGCTGCCTGAGGAAGAAGAGATGCCAGCAAATGTCCATGATTAGGAGAGAGAATAAATGAAGGGTCTGCAAAAGGAGCCCCAGGAGAGGGAGGGGTGACCCACCCACCCTGTGCTTCTGGCTTCCCCACCCTCAAGCAGGCCCTCCTTTTCTGTTTCTCCATGGGGGCAAGTGGCAGCCGTTGGCATGAATGCAGGGCACTCAGTTCCCCCCCCCCCACTGCTAAGAGAAGCTGGGTTTCTTACATCCTTCCTTCCTTCCTCCTCCTCGTTCTCCTGGTGTCCTTGTCCTGGAGGCCAAAGGGAGCCAAAGGGAGCCTCCTCCTCCTCTCTCTCTCTGATGCACATGGGTTGCACACTCCCCAGTTCTTCACCTGGGGAGTGTGCGACTTCCCAACTCTCTTGAATGAGAAGCCCTCTTGAGGGATTGCGATCTTTGTATATACAGAGACATCATGTAATGTTTTATGTTGTAAATTGTCTGTCCTTCCCCCACCCCTTTTGAACTGTGAGCCGCCCTGAGTCCCCCCAGGGAAAAAGGCGGCATACAAATAAAGTGAACTGAACTGGATTTCCCAAGACGTCGCCGTCCATGGCTGCTCTGCCCAGGGCTGGTCCTCAGGGGAGCTGAGCTAAAAGGCTACCCACCACTTTGATATCTGCCCTGTCAATTCTTTTGTTAGCAGTAGCTTTTAAAACATAAATACTACTATAAATCTTAAAAAAGGAAAAAATAGAAAAGGGAGAAAAGGGAAAAAATAATAAATTGAAAGAGATATATAAATGTATTGGAGCCAATTTATGGAGTCAAATTACATTAAAATCTAACACNAGCAGACAGGGAGTTCTAGTCCTGCCTTACGCCTGAAAGCTGGCTGGGTGACTTCGGACCGGTCCTCTCTTTCTGCCCAACCCATCTCACAGAATCGTTGTTGTGTAGAAAATAAGGGAGGAAGGAGTATTAGGCATGTTTGCTGCCCTGAGTTACTTATAAAGTAATAAAGGTGGGATAAAAATCTAACAAGAGATAAAATCAACTTCACAAAAGAATGAGATCAAGGGGAATAGGCAGAGGCATTGTATGAACATTCAAGGGACGTGAGCTGTTCTTCCTCATGGCCTCCATAATACATGGAGTAAACTCTTTACACCAAGGAAGGAGGGTCGACCACTCATAAAACTGACCGAATGCCAAACGTGGTAGCCGTTCAGAGTGCTGGGCTAGAGAAAGGGGCAGAGCTGAGAGTTACAGGAGGAGAAGACATCAGAGGGAGGCGGCTGCCAAGGACGTCCCCAGAGACTCTCACTGGAAAGGCTGAGAATTGTCTCCAGGAGCTCCAGTAAGCAAGGAAGCTCTTCATCCCAGGGGGGCTTCTGGGAAGAAAAGGCTCTTGACCTCAGACCTCCAGCCAGGATCAACTGTGATATTTTGCTGCCCCGGAAACTCAACCCTGCAATCAGGAGGACAGCGGCAGCAATTTCAAGAGCTCCATGCCTACAAAGAAGAAAAAAGCGACCATACACACACACACACACACACAGAGAGAAAGAGGGGGCGGGATGAGATTGACAATATGGGCCTGCTGCCAAGTGTGGAAACGCTGCCCTAAGTGCCTCCTTCAGCCCCAGGGCCCAGACCCTTCCCACTTGAAAGATAAGAGGCCGTGGGACTCTAATGCACTTGGGGAAGAGGTGAGCACCCTCTCTCACGCTCCTCCTCCGTTACAGAAGAGAAAACAGGGATGTCCCAGAAGGGCTCCCAGCATTTTCATGCTTTGACTTTCTAGAGCAAAAATGCCACCTTTGTCTTGGAAGAGAACACAACGTCCAGCCACAATAATCTGTCAGGGAGCCCCAGGAAGACTCTGGGCACTCTCCTCCGCCCCTGGGACCAGTTGTTTTGGCACCCGCAGGGCCCACTGGAGACTATGGCAACCATGGACAGGAGGAGGGCTTCCCTCCAGAGAATAAGGCTCTTGGCTCCTTCCAGGCAGCGGGGAGGGCTTGGAAGTGGTTTGGAACAACCAGGGTTAATCCTTTCAGGCTCTACAATGCTTCCTTTGGCATGTAAGACCTCTGCAGGGTCAGCTCATGTTATCGTCACCCAAATGATGCTTTGCAGACTCCGATCTCAGCAAGCGTGCCAAGCCCTGGCCTGAAGATTTTCCCCCGAAGGTTCTGAAACCTGGAAAGGGGAGGGCCAAGTGCGGTGCAGCTGCAGCCTCTCTTGAGGCCTCCTAAAAGGTCTGCAATAAGCAGTCAACCGTTCTTCAGACCTTTTTTAAACTCTTGCATTGGGTGGGCGTTGTGTGTGCCTTGA